TGTGGGTGTTCTCCGCGAGCTGGTCGACCAGCTCCTCCATCTTGGGCGTGAGGGTGATCGCGGTGAGATCGAGGGGAGCTGGCTTGTAACCGCTGCTCTGCAGAAAGGGCTCGTTCGGAAGCCTCAAAGTTTTTATCCTCGACGGCGGTTTATCTATAGTGATGTAATATCCCAACGCTAGAATGGTCTTGAGAGTCTGCACGGCCAGTTGAGTGTCGTAACGTTTCTCCGCTGCCGGTAATCTCTCGAACTGAACGATGCAGGGATGAATCTTCCTCATGTCGTCCCTGTGCTCCCCGTACATCCATCCGGCCTCGATTTTGTTCATCGCCCACATCTCGTGGATGTTCTCGGCCAGTTTGTCCCTGATTTGCTCGACGTAGGACGGCAGGTTGATCATGGACGTGTCGACCGGGCCCGGGACGAAAGCCGTGTCGTCCTCGACCAGCCAGGGGCCGGCAAGCACCACTTTGTTCATGTTTCCAAAGTAGAAGCACGGATCGAGGGACAATATTTGTTGGGGCAGCAGGCTCTCCACCAGGGGTGAGAATTCTTCCGGCGGTTGGAACTTGAGCCGGCCGTGGTCGCCGCCCAACAGGAATCTGCAGGACAATTTGGACGAGCAGCTGATGGCGGGGAAGAACATGCCGTCCAGGTTGAAATTTCGAAACGAGCCCGTGATGGGCGCTCCGTTGAAGGTGAAGGTGATTATGGGTATCGTGAGATCCAACGCGCAACCGATCACGTCGCTCTTCCTGATGTAAGGCTCCGTCACGTTGTGGACAACTTGGGTCTTTCTACCGCCCGTCCACAGATAGGCGCCGTCAAACCCGAACGAGTAGAGATCGTCGCCGACACCGTTTCCACCCCATTTCTCGCCACCACCGGGATATGGCATGTACCTTTGGACAAGAGAAGAAAGAAATGAGAGAATCTCGTCGTACGATCTATAATAATCGTTGAAATCGGATGTACCCGGAAGTGTTGGCCCATCCTATTCTCAAGTGCGGCATCATGTGCGTGGTCTGCTCTATATGATCGACGGTGACTTCGAAGTACCATTTTTGATAAACGGCCGAATTTTCGACTCTACCGACGAATATGTTCGGCCTTACGCTCGCCACGTGGTCGACCAGCTGGGTTTGGAGGAGTAGATTCTTCCCGGGTAACAGGAAATCGCAGATATTGTTCTGCGACGAGCGGACGGCGACGCCGTTACCCACGCATAGCGAGCAAAGAACGTCCAACACTTTTGGATCCCTTCCGTGTTTCTCGAGCAGGGAAATTATCACTTTAATGTGCTCGTCCTGCGGAGATTAATATTAATCAAACTTCCAAGAATTTCAAAGATGGAATTCTCTCTGGAATTTCGCTTACTCTCATCATGTTCAAAGCCTCGGGCGAATCGATGAGGACGCAATGAAGCACGTCCAACATCCCTGTGCCCTCGCTCGAGGCTTGCGATCCCAGACGGCTGAACAACCAGTTCAATCGATTGCTGTTGGCAAATTGGGCGCAATTCGTGTGATTTCCTTTGATTATTGCTGCCAATAGTTGATACAGGTATCCGGATATTTGATCCCAGGCTTGGCCGCTCTCGTCACCCGAAAGGGCGACGAGAAAACCTTGCGACGTGATCACGTTGATCTTGTCGATCGCTTCCAAGATCAAATTCAGTATACCTTCCTCTTGGAACAAGTCTTGACGATTCCTCAGGGCTCGGAATTTGTTCTGTTTCTCCTCGTGTTCTACGTGGAGAAACGAATAATAATATTATTAGTCAGAGTTCACGAGAGAGAAATTACGTTTCTCTTACCCATGTCGTCTTCGGGTTGAGCAAAATAATTAATCAAATCTTCCAGACACATCACCATTTCGTTCAGATTCACGTTTTGGAAGAACATGGACGCTCTTCTATCCACTTGCAGCGTCTCTAGGCCTCTAAAACGTATTCGCTCCTTTTAATCCTTTTAATTTGTTAATTTATCATTCGGTTTTGTCCAAGGCACATATGTCCAAGCGTCTGCTCCGTTTTTAATCTCCATATTTTAATGCAAGTGCGATCGAACGATGATACTCACGTGATGAATTGGGTAAACAGACTGCTGCATTTCCTAATCACTCGAGCTGTCCTAGACTCCTCCTCTTGCGAACGGGAGAAGACCAAACCGTCGTCCATTTTCCCTTCCTCGTGAAGGACGGCTTGCTTCTCCTCCACCTTGCCCACGCCCTTCTTCTTCGTCTCGTACGACTACGGGATAATAAAATCAGATTTTGATTTTCTATCCTCCAAGGGGACGAAATGGAAAAATATAAATTTAACGAAAAGCATACTTTGTACGAGACCCAGAGACAAGTGGTGGCGTGTTGCATGATAACGGTCGAGTCACCGTATTTGATGATCGGTGTACCGATAACCTCGAGATCCTTGTCCTCGAGAACGATCTTTTGATCGTCCTTCTCTTGCCGCAACGAGAACGTCGAGGTCTCGATCGTGGCCTCGTTCCTTCCAACGGACAGGGGGAGAAAAAAGAGAAAAAGAAAATTCATGCAACTTGGTTGATTATCGGCCTGACCCTTGAACTTTACTAATAATAAAATACCTATCGACCAGATACAATTCGTTGTTTTCTTTCACGCCGAGATACCGGCCTGTAGTCAGGTGTCTGATTCTCATCGGGTGCAACCAATTGATGAAACCACCTGCCCACTTCGTCCTCGCCAGCTCCAACCTCCATAACGATCGTGCCTGGCTCATCACGCTCCCTCCCTCGTAGATCACTATACTGTAAAACAACCGAAATTAAATATCGGAAACCGTGCGTGGTTTCAATCGTATCGCTAATCAAATTACCCCCGACTCGAAAACAGTTAGATTCACGAAAAAAAACAAAAAAGAAAAAAAGCTTTAAAATTTCCTTTCATGAATGGATTCGGTTTCTGTGTTTACTTTTGACTGGGCGCTGTGCTCCATGTTGAGGGTATGGTGAGACACTCGTCGCCACCGTGGAAGAATCGAAGAACGTCACCGCCAAACACGTAACCGACGTATTTCATCCGGCTGATTCCTGTACCGTACGGTTGCACGGACCAGTGGGTCACGTGGAACGAGGCGTTCACCACCGATAAATCGTTCTCTTTGGTGGTGTGCTAGGGGAAAAAGCGGATGGATTGGGATATTTCGAAGAGTTCAGAGGGAAATATTTTAAATTTGTATTGTCACTTGGCATACCAGGTATCTTTCGGTGGCCACGGATACCAGGATAAGGTCATCGCCGACTCGAACCTTCTCACCCTCGGATCTTTGCTTCGATGCTGGATGCACCGTCCACCAACAGGCCTCGCCTAAACGATCAATCATATCAGATATATATGCGTATATGGAAGCACGACAGGAATTGATATCGGTTCCATATTATTAAATTCGATCGCGTTCCATCGGCTAACCTTGAGAATGCTGTTGGAGACCCACGTCGAAAGCCAACTTGTCGTTGGACGAGCTGGTCGATAAGCAAGCCAAATACTGTAAATGAGACGATACCGAGTTACTTATTCCCTGTATCTGTGAAAATTTTACACGATTTTATATATTTACCATGTCGCTGTTCTGATGCCTTAGTAAAATGGCGTTACCGTACAATAAAGTTCTGTGTCCAGATCCTGTCCCCTTTCCCTACAAATGCACAGAGATATAGCGATTGAAGCAGATATATACTTGGAGAACCTAAGATATGTGAATACGTGAAAATTGGATTAAAGAAGAAGAAGAAGAAGAAGAAGGAAAAAAAATGTAAATGAAAGTTCACAAGCGTTACCGATAAGAGAAGGCCATAAATAACGATTAATAAATTGAAATTGGCAAGCATGTTTATACGTGCTTTTGTGATGGAACAAATATTTTTAAATCGATTGTTGCGTGTTAATCGAACATAAAATAGGGAAAAAAGAAAATGCATTCGTAGATCCGCGTGATCAGCATACAACATAACGTGAGCGTTTAAACATAAAATGCACAGATACAAGTAAACCAAGTAAAGAAAGTATCGAACGAAAGTGCAAGAGCGAAGGAGGAAAAGAAAAATAAATAGAATGGAAAAAAAAAAGAAATATAAAGATATGAATTTACGACATTCAAAAGTACGCAAGCAAATGACGTTACTTACAAGCGCAGTGAACGTAAACGGTGTCTTAGAGTGATACGAAAGATATACTTACTAAATTTTCTTGCTGCTGCAAACAGAAACATAAGTGTTGTAAATCTCAATTTTTCTGTTTTGCCAATCGTGAATAGATAGATAGATAGATAGAAAAAGAGAGAAAGGAAGAGAAAGAGAGAGAAAAAGAGAAAGAAAAAATAAAAAAAGAGAAAAAGAGAAAATGAAAAGAAATTCGGTGAACACGCCTAGAATGTCGATCGATAGGTGAAATGTATTATGTACATATATGTATCTATACGTGCGATTTTCACGCATATGGATGATTCTCGTATTGCGATGAGTTGCAATTGCGATCAGTGCAGACGCAACAAAAATTGGACATGAACACGAGGGACAAAAGACAATACGGACAAACGAAAGACAATTTGAGACGTGTTACACGGATGCTACATGGATGCATGCTACAATTATTGATTGGACAGAAAAAGGAACGAAAAAAAGTGCGGATGCATTCAGAAAATTATTTCTTTGCATCTTGTTCGAAGGAAAAAAAAAAAAAAGAAAAGAAAATAAAGAGAGAGAAAAAAGAAAAAGAGAGAAAAAGAAAGAGAGAGAGAGAGTCAAATGTGCTTGACAGATTTGTCGAAAAACAATATTGACTCGATTGGAAATCGCGAGTATCTACTACTTTCTAAGTGCATCGTTCGGTTTTAGTTTGCAAAAAAAATGGAAAGAAAAAAAAAAGAAAAAGAAAGTATGGACAAATGAAATACTCGATTAATCCTCTCCTGCAGAAATGAAATCAAACAAAATTTTATGGCCCACTCCTATGCGGGTGATTTACGTACTGAGATCGATTTACGTGAACCTTATCGATCCTTACGCACGATGCGGAGGAGAGTCCCGTTCTTTAAAACCCATTTAAAAAAAGAAAAAAATCTTGCAACTTTGTCGTCACGATCAAGCAAAACTGAAAAATAAAATGATGCGACGAGAACGTCTGCACGGGAAAATAGAAAAAGAGATCACGAGGAGGGATAAGCGAAATATTATTATAGAATCTAAATACATTTTTCGTCGTCGACGAAAAATTGCTTCGTAAACGTTGTAACGATATTCTCCATAATATAAATATAAATATATATATAGTATATCGTTGTACAGTGTTTACGAGTGATAAAGAAGTGGTACGTTACCGTCTCGGAACCGGCAGCAGTGACCAATTCCTGCAAAGCTCGCACCGAGAGAGCCTGCTCTATTACGAATACGCATTGCGACAGGTCGGGTGGTATGTTCTGCAATTGTAAACAAAAACGTGCAACTTTTTCACTTTCCGCCCGTTTTATTTTGAAAGTAGTACGGGTAAAGAATTGGGCGGCCATTCACACGTTAAATACCTTACCTTATCCGCGATATTCTCGAGGAAACAATGTCGATTACCAAATCCCTCGGCTGCCAGGCACACTCTTTCACCGGTTGCCGTGCAGGACAGACATACCATATCCTCCTACGAATTTCAATTCCATATTCGATTCAATTTCTGTCTTATTGTTCTTCGTCTAGATTTAAAATTTACGATAAGAATTTATGGTAAGAAATGCAAACGTTGATCCACTTTCGTAAATAATCGTGCAATTTTTATTGCCTTTTTATTTTTTTTTTTTTTCTTTTTAAAAAGAGATTTCGATCGCGGAGTTGAAAAAAAAAACGATTCATTGATGCGTTGGAGAAATAGTAGAGGAGAGCAACGTCGACCTTTGCGAAACGTTGAAATATGATGTGAGCCAAGCAGCAGATGTTACACACTGTGCCAAAACCAATTTGGACCGTCTCAAGAATGTGCGCCACTAGTTTTTCACGAGCGTATACCATTTTCGAAGTGTTTCGAGGCGGCGGATTTGTCAGGGAAACGATGCCACCGTGTTTTTACCCAGACCTTAAAGTGTCGCTTAAGCGATTAACGTTCTTTCTCTTGTACACGAGTCACTCTTATTCGATCGATTGTTGTCACGAAATTCCTTACACAGGAACGTAAAACGCAATTCGCAGTTTTTGAAATCAAGTACACCGCGAATTCTCGAAACATTTCTCATCGACTCGATTTTAAATTTGGACTCGATCTTTGCGCCCGTCCATCCGGGATTAAAACAGACGTACATTTGTACAATGTCGCGCGTGTACAATGTAGCCAAATAGTTTTAAAATTACGATCGCACGGCAAATTTAGAATCTCGAACGGACGTGAATTCCAATTTCCATTCGAATTATAACTTGGGATCGATCGAGTGGAAAGTGTTATAACTCGGATCGGAATATAATTGCGATCGACGAGGAACGATATATACGACGTAACAAGATTATTTCTATCGCGAGTATGGTATTGGCTCGTAAAATTCCGTGACATTTCTCAATTTACAATTTACACCAACGTCGAGACTAATGACGGTTCCGCTCCATTACTTTACAGGCAAATATTTTTCACGCGGATAAACGGCGCACGCATGCGAAACGCGTGTAACACGAACATCGTTGGGGAGGAAAAAAAAAAAAAAAAAGAAAAAAAAGAAAAAAAAGTGAAACGAGTTCTCGAATTAACATAACGTGTTACTGGGTTATATGGAAAAGCACGCGAGTCTCATCTGACACGATTTACAATTTTTGCCAATTCATCGGATTCGGAAAAATCGAGAGAAATTTAATAATAAGAATGTTCGCGAAAGAGTTATCGATCTCGATCGAATAATCTATAAATTTGGATCGCGTTTTACTCGATCATCGAGCTTCGATTTCTATTCTGGCGTGGCGTCCATCCGAATGAGCGAAAGTAGAAGGCGAATAACGCTTTCGAATAAATCAATTATTTCCCTCGCCCGCGGAATTAAACCGCGATCGAAGCTGCAACGTGTTGCAACCTCGGGTCAAGGGTGTGTCTGTATTTTCAGCGTCCGACAATCCGCCGCGATTTCGTTCGAGCGGATACTAAATATAAATCACATTGATCACTTTTGGATATGAATCGGCAAGTTATATTTCGCATTCCGCGATCTTTTTCGATATTTAACGATATTACGTGTACACCGGTTGCCAAGAAATATATATACATAATACAACTGCTTCGTTTACCATGGAATTTGAGGAGAAAGAAAAATTGGAAGAATTCGAAGAAAATTTCTTGCTACGTCAATTTATTTTTCTTAATCAAACGACATGACATAGGATTAAAACAACGATCCTAATTATCGATCGAGTCACTTGCAAACTGAAATTGCCGTGAAAACGTCAACGATACGTTCTTTCCACTCTTGGAATATATAATTCAATCAACAGAGTGAAACCAAGCCTGTGTTATTAACGCACGGTCGGTTGCTTTTCGACGTGAAATCTTTAATGAAGAGCCGTATTGATTACACGGAACAATGTAGCATCGATTGCTAAAATTAACTGTCGCCACATCGCTCTTAAAGAAGAAAGGGAGAGAGTCTGCTAGGAGTGGCTCGGCTCGATTTTAAACGACCAACGATTTATTATTTATTTTTTTAATTACCAGCGTCTCTTTTCGTCGTGGCAATTCAATCATCGTTGCAAATGGCAACACGCGAAGCGAGCATTGGACGAGCTGCGAAAGTGCGCGCGATAATTTCGAGTGGCGCCCAACGATGCCAACGGTTGTTCACTTAATTAATGATCATTACGATGCAGCGAACCGTGTGCACCTCGACATAATTTTCCACCAGACGTCTCGAACGTACTTGTCCTACTGTTTTCGAACCTTGTTGTTTCGTCGTCGAACAATCGCGATTAAAAGTAACGTACATTGCCCGAAATTATTATCTTTGATTGCTCGAATTATCGATTTTTTTTTCAAATTGATGTAAAAAAGAAAAAAAAAAGAAAAGCGGTATAATACCTGTTGTTGATAAAGGATTATTGTCTGATAGATATTTCGATATTCTCGATCGATTTTGAACTTTTACGATCAATTTCCTAGATTGAGAAAAACGGCGCGAGGGAAACCGAAAGTCGAAGAGGAACGAAATTACGTTTCCTATTTCCGAAGCGGGGGAGGGAAAATTGATTTAATCTCGTTCTCGTGCTACCAAAGCCGCCAATAATTTCGAGCAGATTATTCGAGCGTTTCTTTCATCTCTGAAATGGTTAATGAACGAACCGAACGCGTATCGCATTGTGATTTCGATTCGATCGGATTACAAACAGCTTGCAAAGAGAACGAAGCGAAGGCTGTCCGAGATGAACGAGATAAACGAATTATGCAAGAAATCGCTGCCCTCGATCGATGTTCGATTACCAATACTATCGATACAATTCTCGCGCACTATACAACGCGAACATAGTCGACAAATAGTTCAAATGTTTTCAACCGTTTGGATATGTTAAGTTTGGCTACATATATCAAATTTTCAAGTAAAAATTCAATAACCAAAGACACAGCAGTACGACATGAATCGACCCCTCGGCTATGAAAATCCCAACGACGACAGGTGAGGCACGATCCGTTCCAATAGGCTAGAAATCGTGTTGGAATACGAATCACTTATCCTCCGTATCGACACGATCATTTCCATTGTGAAAACTCTGGTTTGACACTCGTTCCGGTAACTGGATCATCCCTGTTCAAATTTCATCGTGAATTCTACGCACGACAAACCCTGTCTCGCGATTTCACAAATGAACGAATCGAGCGTTTCGCGGCCGTGGTCCAACTTAACCCAAATGAGGGGAGGAGAGATGGATCGTTAAGAGTGTGCTCTGCCTTCGAATTTGATCGATATTAAATAACGACGATTAGTAAATTTTCATTTCAACCAATTGAATGACCAGCGAACGTATCAAAGTGTATTATCCTCTTAGGGACGCGAACGCAAAGTTTGGATCGACGAGATTACCACTCGTTTGAGCAGGTGCATATTCGGTTATGTTACCCAGTCACGAACGCCACTTAACAGCCACTAACAAATACTTAACTAATTTCGAGATACGCGATACGGTGTAATTAAATTAACCGCAGTAATTTTCATCCGTTTCCTCTTTCTGTGATTCTCGTTCGATCAAACCGTCGTCTCACCATTTCGTCCACGATCGAAAGGAAACGGGAGAAAGAAACGTAATTACGGCCGTAATTATTGAGAGGATCTCTCAGGTATTCGAGGTATTCCCTGCCCTGTAATGATTTCCTCGGAGACCTCGCGACTTGGACGATTACTTTCTCGGAACAACGAAACTTGCTCGCCTCGAAATATCCCTCCGTGATAATAACTTGCAATTCTCGTCGACTACTTAACTCTATTTCAAACACGATATTTAAAAAATATATGGAATCGGAGGGCGTTGTTTCGAGGAAGCTTTCGAAAAGGACGGTGGTGTTCATTTGAATTCGTATGGCCGATTTTTCGACAGGAACGCGATACTACAGGATGTTCAATTGGAACCG